ACGTGAGAGAATCACCTGTGAGGGAAGTGTTAGTCTTGCTCGGGAAACAGTAGTGATTTCTCGAGTATGTAGTTCTCAGTAGACTGAAACCTTGTAATGACGATAGGAAGGTCAAGTCTGAAGAAACTGATCTTGGATATATATACTCAAACTACCTTCATTGAGGAGTTTGCGGAGAGTATACTTTCAAGCTGAACCTCGTCAACAAATGCTTGTGTTTGTATGGTGTGTGTACTGTGATTTTGTGTAGGTTATGAAGATTGAAATCCCTACAGTGGTATCAGAGCGTTGGAACATTGATCTTGAATTCACAGCTTCCTCGCATTTGTCTCCTACGCTCAAATCAACCTGGCGGACTTGGAAGCAACGAGTCAACTCGCTGGGCGTACCGGCGAGCCAAAAAGGAGCGACGACCTTCCACAGCAAAGCACCAACACAAATTTTTCTCAACGAAGCATATCAAGTCTTTGTTCTTGGAATCCTTTGACGGCAATGTGAATCGACATAGAGAAATTTGATAGGACTAGAGATTTTTGCATATGGCACAAAAAAATCTCAGCTCTCCTTGCTCAACAGAGATTGCTGAGGATCATTCCCGACTCAGTGCTATGGCCTGAAGATACTCTGCAAGACCAAAGAGAAGAAAATGTCTGAAACGGCTATGGGTACAATGATTTTTCACCTTTTTGATTCAATCATTCGTCTTATTGACAAAGAAAACACACCAGCGAAGGTGTGGAATAAGCTTGAGGAGATGTTTCAATCTCGCTTTCACTCCAACAAAATCTACCTGAAAGAGAGACTCTTTGGGTTCATGATGGACCAGGCAAAGTCATTGGAAGCCAACTTGGACGAGTTCTTGAGAATGACCATTGAACTCACAAATTCTGGCGACAAGGAAGAGCTCAACAACGAAAATAGAGCAATTATTATTCTCAACTCTCTTCTATAGGCATACAAGGAGGCAAAATCGGCTATCAAGTACGAGAAGTCATCAATCACCCTACATGAAGTGATTTCTACACTCAAATCCAAAGATCTGGAAATCAGAGCAGACAAGAAGACCTTTGATGATGGCGAAAATCACATGGCTCGTGGCAAACAGCAGTGCAAGAACACAGATGGAAGCAATTTCAAGTCCAAGAACCATGGCAAACCATCTACAAAGATCAACAATCGGAGTACCAACTCCAACTCTGACAAGAAGTGCTTCTACTATAACAAGATGGGTCATTTCAAGAAAGATTGCTACTCATGGATAAAGAAAAGCAAGGAGAATCAAGCTAGTACATCACAAGGTCATCAAGATTCAGCAAATTTTGCTGATGGCTACAGCGATGGCGAAGTTCTATTGGCATCAGGAAAGCTCAAGGCCTCTAAGTGGATACTTGACTCTGGTTGCATCTATCATATGACACACAACAAGCATTGGTTGTCGGACTACCAAGAACTCAATGAAGGGAAGGTAATAATGAATATAACCATTCTTGTTCAGTTGCTAGTATAGAATATGTGAGCATTAAGATGGCTGATGGTGTTGTGAAAATTCTTGAAAATGTTAGATGGGTACCTGAATTATCTAAAAACCTGATCTCCATTAACATTCTTGATGACTTGGGTTATACTAACAAGATAGAGCAAGGCTCTATGTATATTGCAAAAGGTGCTACTGTTTTGAAGGGTATGAAGATAGGTGGTCTTTATTATCTCATCGGAGATACACTTCATGGAGTTGCATCAGTTGCCACTACCCAAGACGATAGCAAAGATACACTTTGGCACCGAAGGCTGGCCATATCAGTGAAAAGGGTCTACAGATGATGAGCAACCAAAATCTGCTAGGAAAGTACAAAGTTAGCAAACTTGATTTTTGCAAGCATTGCATTTTGGCAAAGAACCAGAAGCATAAATTTCCAAGAGGAAATTATACGTCTACACAAATACTTGAGTACTTTCACTCAGATTTGTGAGAACCCTCAAGAACAGCAACACATGGCGGTAACCTCTACTTCTTATCTATCATTGATGACTTTTCTAGAAAAGTTTGAATATATTTGTGGAAACACAAAAATCAGGCTTTTTAGAAATTTAAAGAATGGAAAATTCTGGTTGAAAATCTGACTGAGAACAAGGTTAAGACCTTAGAAACAGACAATGGTCTTGAGTTTTGTAATGCTGAGTTTGATCAATTTTGTGCCAATGAGTGTATTCAAAGTCATACAACTGTGAGACTAATCCCTCAATAAAATGGAGTTGCTAAGAGAATGAACAGATCATTACTAAACAAGGCAAGAAGCATGCTGTTTAATTTTGGATTGGCTAAAGCTTTTTAGGGTGAAGCAATGGTCACAACGGCATATCTAGTGAACGGATGCCCTTCAAGTGCCCTTGAGTTCAAAACACAAGAAGAAAAATGGAGTTCAAGGCCACCTAATCTCAATCACTTGAGAGTGTTTGGATTCTCAGCCTATGTTCATCAAAGTCAAGGCAAATTGGAGCCAAGAGCCATCAAATGCGTGTTTTTTGGCTATTCACAAGGTACCAAGGGGTATCGGTTGTGGGTAAGGAAAGGTAATGGTTTCAAAATTATCAATAGTAGAGATGTGATATTTAATGAGACTTTATTCCCTTGTCAATCATAGACTCATCCAAATTCTAGTGTTGTGAATGTCTCTCACCTCCAGAAAATTTAGAGAATATTATTCAGGTGGAACCAACTATTCATGTCACTCCTCCACAAGCTCACGGCAAAGCAACTCGAGTGACCATGAAGATCAAGACGTGCAAGCTCCAGATCAGATCACTGAACCAAGCAATCACACTGATTAGGAGCAAGGCAACTACGAACAAGAGATGACAAGTCAAAGCAATTAAGAGCAATCTCTCCAACAACGTGACTACATTCTCACTAGGGACAGAGAAAAGAGAGTATCAAGACCTTCACATAGATATGGCTTCTCCGCATACTCTGAAATCCTTGCTATGCTTTCACATCAGCCTTGGAGATTCATATATAGGAGCCACTCTACTATCAAGATGCTATTGCTGGATCATACTCAAAAATATAGAAGAAAGCCATGAGAGAAGAAATGGAGTCGTATAGGAACAAAACTTGGAATATATTTCCAAGACCTAAGGATCAAAAGCCAGTGACATGTCGTTGGCTTTACAAGATCAAAGAAGGTGTGATCAATTCTCACAAGCCTAGGTTTAAGGCTAGGCATTAGCCTAGCCTTAAAAGCTAGGCAAAGAGTTTCACGAAGGTTGAGGGAATAGAATATAATGAGATTTTCTGTAGGTTATGGGTTTATTGAAATCCCTACAACTTAACAATTAACGGAAAACAGTCTCGAGTGACCGGCATCTTCCGGTGCCCACTTGTGCACGAACTACGAACCTCCGCCCCCAATCTTCCGTCAGTTTTTCCAAGTGTGATGCATTTTATGTGCACAAGATGAACGATGAACGATGAACGGGTTCAAGCTTCGAGCTTCTTCTTCTTCTTCTTCCGTCTCATCGTAGGGCATATGATTATTTAGCGACTACTCCACGACCATCTGGCGTGCTGAGTTGCGATGAGTGGCTGGCGAGAGGCAGTCGCCTAAGAAGAGTGAAGGTTTCATGGCGCTGTATCGAGCTTTGGGCCTATTTCTCATCGTACCTCGCTCTCAAGACGACCTTCACGTATTACTGCACGTTCTCTGTTTCCCATCGTCCATCGTCCAATTCCTCTTTCTGGACTACGAATGTGCGAAACAAATTGGTATAAATTCTGCGGCTGCCTGTGGACGCGACGATGTTTTGTGATTGTTTCTTTTCCCCGGTAGACCGGAGGCATGGACGATTTTGACTAAGGTTATGAATGTCATGATGGGATTTGTTCGATGTGAGAAAAGCCTGGGCAGGTGGATGAAATGATACCAGTATGGGAAGACCCCATCAAGCATCACGAGGGAAAATCCAAACGAGAAACGATGAACTAGTCCCCAATATATATCTACTTTACCATCATTTAACTTGATTGTCTCCTATATATTCTGATATATAGGGTGAAACTAATTAGTTCCCTTGGTAGAGTAGTAAACACATGGCCTAAAATATACTAACAATATAGTGGAATATGTTATATTTGTATCTTTCAATGCTAAAAGAATTATATCGGTACAGTCTAGTATACTCTCTGTATATATACTCTCCAGCAACAAAATATCTGTCTTATCACCTGAAGTGGTTACTAATCCTATGTATAATACCAAGTTGATGATAATACCAAGAGGTATAAGAGAGAAAACCTTATGAAAAGTTATATTCCAACCTCCGAATTTAGTCCAGTGCACGTCCTCTTGTCATACTGCACCACCTTACGGTTAGATCCTACAAATTTCTCGGCATATGCTTTCTGTGTGAGACATCAGTAGGGAATGACGGAAGTTGGTTGACTTTGGATTACTCCGACAGCCAGCGGATGTTTCCATGTTACTACCTCATACGTGGGCGCATCCCAGGCATGCGACTGAATCGACCAAGATTCATGGATTTTTTGCGTGGGTGCAGAAAACAAGTCTTTGTGGGTCCCCAGGCCTGGGACGTCTCACTACACTGTAGTACCATTGAGGAATGCAGCACACCCTCGTAGAGCAGTTGCAAAGTCAAGCATTTCATCCTTCGAAGCAGTGACTTCATAATCATGTATTGCGCTCTGCCCTTGCAATGTCCTCCTTGCTGAGATGGTTGACTTGACGTGAAGTGCGTCCCTTCTTTAAATGAAGTTCTAGTCCCGTATTTCCTCTGAAAGTATCACTCTCTTTCGGTGTGAATACTGTTGCAAGAAACAAACTGATATCCGAGAATAGCGGCTAATCTGAACGACAGACAATGTTTGCGTGTTACATGGGCTTCTTCAGTTACACCAACAAGGAAAAAATCTTCTCGTTTCAGCCTTCGTAGTTGCCGTCAAGAACCATTCACCATCAACAACAAGACTGTACAAGGCCTCGTTGGCAAATTTCTTTGGAAAATTTTCATTATGTAAGAGCCCCTTGGACACCGATTATACACGGATGAGAAGCAAATATTCTACAATTTGCAAATGGGTATCTACTATACCCGTAGTTTGTAATGATTTCGACTATCACGTACAATACACAGACCGTGGACAACAACTATGCAAAACTCTGGACGTGGTAATCTACTCATTCAAGCGATTGCGTGGTACTTGAGTCGTGTGGGTTCTTTGTCTCCCAATCTCTTTTTCCGATCAGCTTCATAATCGGAATATGAGCCCTCGTACCAGGTCACCTGCAAGTAGCAAGAGTCTCAGTTTCTTACGTTGTATGAGGACAAGTATGTGATACATGCGACGAAGAACATGTGCAGCTTAGAACATAATGAGCATGTACATCTTCCCCATACCTGCGAGTCGCCTTCGAAAGCTAGTATGTGAGTTGCAATCCGATCTAAGAACCAACGGTCGTGAGAGATGATCACTGCACAACCTGAAATGTGGAAAGTTCCGAAGTTATATAACTGCTTATAGTTTAGAAAAACGGAGACACACTGAGCAAGATTTGCTATTGCTTGCAGGGGACGTGATTGGTACCTGCGAAATTGATGATAGCGTCTTCTAGAGCACGCAGTGTATCCACATCCAGGTCATTTGTGGGCTCATCGAGCAATAGCAGGTTTCCACCTTTCTTCATTACCTTAGCTAGATGTAACCTGCGGCAAGTTCACAGAGAATTTAACAGTTATTCCCGCTTCTGCCTTACAACGAAGCTATTACCAAAACAAATAACCAGATATAGTGCAAAGAAAATATCGGATAGCTGCGAGACTAGTCAATATGTATTCAGTATTGCGTGCCTGTCATAGACTAAGGAGTCACTGCACACAAGGAATTCGGAAATAAGAGGATCTTCATCCAATAATAGAAGCTCCCCAAGTGAAACGTGGCCTAAAGTTAGGCCGAATTGTTTCAGCGATAACTACCTGTTGCGCTCTCCACCTGACAAATTGCTGACTTTCTTCTGCTGGTCACCGCTTTTAAAGTTGAACCAAGTACAGTAAGCTCGCGAGTTGACTTTTCGTTCACCTGAATCAATGCAACAATTCTGGTGATTACAGCAAATAAACTGAACTTGTGGGTACTTCTTTCTATGTGTACCACCTGCTGTGCTACTCATCGTCACGCCAATTGTTTATTCGAGTGCGATATTTCCATCGACGGTTGAAAAGAATGGACATGTCCTGGATCGGAAGCACTACTGGTCGTTTGATCTGACGATGCATCTTGAACCGAAATACGAGGACATGTACAAAAATTATTCAGAAAGTCCTAACAGCTGAAAACAAGGTCTACATCCAATATGACGAGATTTGAATGTACCCTCACCTAGTGAAACTTCCTCAAATCCGTCCGTAATTTCCTCGAAAACAGTTTTTTCTCCATCCAGGGAATCCCGTGACTGGTCTACGTATAGTGGGACGACGGTATCCCCTACTCTGAGAAAGCCATTGTCTGGTGTATCCTGCGCATTTCAACCCGGAAAATATCAAGTTCTCGTATCAACAGACTACTAAATAGTTGAACCAATCATCCCAAAAAAGTTAGATGCAGAGAATCTAAAGAAACGTGGTAACATAGAGACAAAATCTGATGATACCTGGCCCATGATCATTCGAAACAGAGTTGTCTTGCCCGCTCCATTCCCACCAATTACACCAACTACACCTGCACAAGGATGATATCAGAATGTTGACAATACCAACCAAACCTTCAACTATTTGTGGCAATCACTTCCACAAATAGTTCATCTGCTAAGCGGCTGATCACACCGACCACAATGTTAATGAAACACTATGAACTATCTGTTTAAAAACTAGCCTAATCGACGAAAACCAGAACAGCGGAGCTAATAGCTGAAACGGGTACTACCGAAATGACTTCAACTCGTAAACCACACATTTGTCAGCACACTTAAGGTGCATATGCCATATGAGTTACGGGTCTCAGTTAAGGGATGTACTGACCACCGGGAGGAAGATTGAAGGAGAGCCCATCTACCAACAGTCGTCCATTGAAAGCCTTTTGAAGGGCTTGAGCTTCCACAACAACATTTCCCAATCGAGGTCCTTGCGGGAAGAACATGGATTCCAATCTCTCTGATTTTTGATATTCACTAGCCTTCCGCAGCAAGTCATCGTAGACTCTCTCTCTTGCCTATAAAACAAAAGAAAGAATTAAACGTTGAACTTTGTCCCCAACATTCACCATCGTTTGGACCAAAGCGAAAGTTCTCTGCACGTTGCACGGCTGGATGGATGCAGACATACCTTCCCCTTCTTCTGTTGGCCTTTAGCATTTGATCTAATCCACTCGAGTTCCCGATTCATTGTCCTTTGCAAAGCAGATTGCTGCTTTTCTTCTACTTCCATCCTTTTGGCCTGGACCATGGACATCACAAGAAAGTAACGAACAGTCGTTAGTTTTTATAAGAAGAATATTCCGTACACCGGAACAGACCCCAAATTATGACCACGGTCACTTCTTATACAAAAGCTCGACAATGTAAGTTATTGTAGGTTGCCGAAAGAGTAAAATCTTTACTCACCTTGGCTTCTAGCCATGCTGAGTAGTTTCCTTCAAATGGAATACCTTGACCCCTGTCCAACTCCAGAATCCATCCAGCCACCTGTCACAGACAACAGCTTAATACCTATATGAAAAAGCTGTCAAAGTATATGGTCCTTACACGAATTGAAGAATACTCAAGTGCAATGAGGAGTGTATTGTCACCGTGCCATTTAACTCAGATATTAATGAAAAGCACAGTGAACTTACATTGTCCAGGAAGTATCGATCGTGAGTGATTGCAACAACAGTTCCCTTGAACTCTGCGAGATACCGCTCCAACCATGCAACTGATTCAGCATCCAAATGATTCGTAGGTTCGTCCAGCAAAAGAACGTCTGGTGTCTGTAGAGAAGAATTGAACAGGGTTGAGGATCCATTCCCTTCTCCAATATTTGCGTGTGAAGGATGGTAAGCATGGGAAATTTCATCTGCCGAGGATAAAATAGTCGGAATTGAAATAGTAAAACTTGAGACAGTAGACTTAAAACTCAGAGTGATACCTGCAGCAGAAGGCGTGCAAGAGCAACACGCCTGCGCTCTCCTCCACTAAGGTTTTCAACAAGAGCGTCTGAGGGGGGACATCTCAGTGCGTTCAACGCATTCTGCATACATCAGGAAAAGATAGTCAGAAGGTGCTACACCATTCCACAGTGGATACTCACAACGCGTGCTTAAAATCATTTATATATCTCAACAAGCTTAGCTCTAAGTCAAGAACAATTCTCGGCACTGAGTGGTTCTATGTAGCAGTCAGGAAATTCAGAACGGGTTCAAACCTATCAAACAAATCGATTACTTCCAATATAGTGAAGAGAAGAGGTCTACAGAAAAAGGACAAGTAGCTAACCTCGAGCTGGCGCTCAAGCTCCCAGCCATTGCAAGCATCGAGGGCATTTTGCAACTTCTCCATCTTGTTCATTAACTTGTCCATATCCGCTTTTGGATCGGCCATATCTGCACTCACCTGCAATTTGAAAAGCACGTCCACGATTAAGTTACTGTGAGCTGTACATGGAGCCAATTTAGCGACAGAATGTACACTTCAACTAGTCAGTCGATTTCGATCCTAGTTGCGCTGCGAAATGTGTAAACTGCAAGCCATACCTTCTCAAAATCAGAAAGCAACTGCCGAGTTGAAGCAAGAGCTGGCTGCGCGTGTTCCACCGAGATTGTACGGAAAGTCAGTAAAAGGATCTTCAAATTGTCCATACAATAAGTAGAAAGCAAACAAGAGGGATGCATAAAACACCACGGACGCAACTAAGAACGTACAAGCAGTCCGAACCCAAATTCCACTGTTAAGATTCTACAGTGTATTTCACCCAGTACCTCACCTCAATGTTACTCATCACCGTGAGTCCATCGTTCAGCTCCGGCTCCTGCGCCAATCAAACAAGTTTGAAAATCTCTGACATTGTTCGGACGATAAAAGTCCAACAACGCTGGTGATAATAAAATCGTTGCATCAGGTATTGACAGAGTGAAGGTGTCACAGTACCTGAGGAAGGTATCCCACTTTCATGTTGGGATCCAGATAGAAATCACCATCGAAGGCTTTATCAACGCCAGCGAGGATCTTCATCAGAGAACTCTTTCCGGCACCATTGGCTCCTAGCAGTCCAATCTTAGCTCCCAAGTACATTCCGATATTTATTCCTTTCAGAATCTCCTTCCCCATAGGCGTCACCTGTGTTGATTATGTGGCCCCTCAGTAACCCCTTCATCATCACTTTGAAAATTTTGATGCATATAAAAATTACCCCTGGAACTGAATAATTGAGCAGTTGCACAAGCACCGCTCGAAATGGGTCTTTACAACACAATTGAAGTCTGATCAATTGCAGTTTGAGCTGCCCATATTTTGGATTGCAAAGTGGAGCGAACAAAAAGGGTCTCAAGGTTGAAGTTGAAAACGAGTGAAATTGTTCCCCATCAGTCAATTGCAAATGATGAAGCGCTTACAGAGGAGAGAGCTCAAACGTCTGATTCTCAAGTGCATGAGCGTCGATAACAGCACATAACATGACCGATTTCGCTCCACCTATGTAATCGTAAAGGTGGAGCGAAATTCCGTCGACACAACAAAATCGAACTGAAGGAATTGATTGAAGGAATTGTTTGAGCTCTACAACTGTAGTGGTAAAATTCATGCACAGAGATGAGCAAACCTCGCGCCACAGTAATCAAAACAAAGCGCTGCGTCATTTTTGCAGACTCACAACGACCGAGCTACCTTTCGCATGTTGCGCAAGCTGAGAATTATGCGACGGGTTTCATTCTCATACGGAGTTCCCTTCTCAGCAACACCAGCTCCACCACCTCTGGAGCCGCTGCTCTTTTGAGCGGAACCGCCTCCACCTCCGCCACCTGCTTTCTTGCTCCCTTTCTTCGCCATGGCAACCACGCGCACTCCCCCAGGGAAATTCCCCTCCCGAGCCCCGGCATTGCCAGGCCCCCGCAGGACGAACGCCTCGGACCCAAATTTCGACCCCAAGAAATCCGACTTCGCTTGCAGCCGCAGCAGCGACGGACCCCTGGCAAGCGCCATGGCGCCAGCCACAGCCACAGCCATTCGACGAGCCCGGTGTCGATGGATCGACCGACTGCGACGAGCACCGGAGCAGGAGCAGCAGCAGAGCACGAGCACGAGCGATGTGCCTGCGAGCGAATGCGCCCCTAAACCTCGAGATTCTGTCTCTCGGTGGGGCCAGCGGAGGCTCCGCGCGTCCGGATAAGGTTCTCGAGCACCCGCGCGCCTGCCACGTCCGACCAAATGGCGCTGCTATATGAAGCCCCGACGAGCTCCGGCCAGCCCCCGACCGCGCTCTGAAGGCCAGCTATGGCGGCCGTGACGTCCTCTGCTCTCGGTCTCTGGCTCCCGTCGCTGCCCCGAGCCACCTCTGCAGGAGCCCCGGCTTGCGCCAGCCGCTCGAGGCTCAGCAGCAGCAGCGGCAGCACGAGCATTGTGGGCAAATGTGCTGCTTCCGGGAGAGGATTGTGGCGGTGTGCAGATCGCGGGGCGGATCGGTGGATTGCGCTCGGGAGGACGACGTCGGGGCCTGATTTCGTTGCGAGGGCTGGTCCGGGCGATGATGCCTCCGGGAAGACCGAGACGGAGATCGAGAACGAGAAATTTGTGGATGCGGCGGTCTCTGGCCGTGAGGGAACGGCGGCAGCCACCGTCGCTGTGCTGAGCGAGGATATGAATGCCGTGGACAAAGTGGTGGAGCTGGCCCGAGGGACGGAGCAGGAGGCGAGTGTTGTCGGTGGCGCTCAATCCTGCATTAGTGCTGAATTGGCTGCGATCTATGCCAATTGTAGAAAATGGGAGTGGAGGGGCAATTCGATCAATTATGTGGTCCAGGGATCTGGACCTGCTGTTCTTTTGGTTCACGGATTCGGGGCATCCATCGGCCATTGGCGCAAGTAATTGATCTCCTTCCGGCTTTCTATCGTCTTGAAGTGATTTTCAGCTCTCTCATTTCGGTGCAAAACTCAGTATTTTGGATCTGCAGACGAACATGTGAACCTCTTCGAGCCATTGGATGTTTAGGCCTGTGGGAAGAGCTGTTGAATTCTTAATTACATCGTCAATTATCGTTAACGGCATATGTCTCTTGTAAGCAGGAATATAGGAGTGCTGGCGAAGTCCAACACCGTGTACGCCATTGATCTGCTGGGATTCGGGGCTTCTGCAAAGCCCCTGAACTTCAAATACAGCATGGAGACCTGGGCTGAGGCATGTTCTCACCCTCTCGCAAGGTCAGCTCATTGGTGTGACAGTATCAGAACGCGCAGGTCTTCTCTTGCTGTCACTATCTGTGCTGATCGCTTTCATACTTAGCTGGCAAATCCCTGAACAACTCCACTCAGTTTCCGACGGTCGTTAATTGTCATTTCTCTTTGCCTTGCAAGTTTTTGAAAGCCTGCTCAAGTGGCTCGAAATTTAACCTGATTCCTTGAGGTCGGAATGTATGCAGTACAGTAATTTGCAATCGTGAGCAAAATGCTGAGGAAAAGCATACGGTGTCACAACAAATTTTAAATTATTGCTGCTGTCAATTGAACAAATGAATCGCGTTCTTACAGATGCTGACAGATTTTCTGAAGGAAATTGTTGGATCTCCAGCTGTACTTATCGGCAACTCTATCGGCAGCTTGGCATGCTTGATCACCTCGGCAGGTTGGAGGCCCTCCTGTTAACTCGTCATTACTTTCAGCTTTGGGAGCTTGAGGAGACTGACCTGACTGATTGATTGCGTATGTGTTTGTACGCTTCTGAAGAGTTTTTTTGACTCGATACAGAGGCACCTGCCGGATTGGTGCGAGGGACGGTGGTCATCAATTGCGCTGGAGGAATGAACAACAAAGCAGTCACAGATGACTGGCGCTTGAAACTACTCCTTCCCATTTTATGGCTGATCGATTTCATTCTCAGCATACCCGCCCTAGCTACTCCCCTTTTCGACCGCATCAGATCACCGTAAGCTCTGAATACGAACATGTCAAGTTCTCTTTCCAACTGCGAGCCTTTGAAGTCCCATTGAACCTCGATCCAAGACGATAATTTATTTTTCTCGTCTTGACCCCAGAGAAATATCTTATAGAATTACTCTGCCTCCGAGCTTTTTCCTTCCGCATCTTGTCAGTTACTGTAAGCACCAAGTTCTAACAATATTGTTGTCGTTTTTCTCACCTAAACAGTGACAACATCAAGTCCGTGCTACAGTCGGTCTACAACAACAAAGACGCAGTGGATGACGAACTCGTCGAGGTGATGACACGAGTTCATGGGATACCTATACCTTGTGAATGAGCTGAATATTCTTGCTAGGCATGTGCTCCTGCCCCGAGTTTACCAAGTGAAGACCCTGAACTTATCATCAGCTTGTGGGAGAGGCTGAGTCAAACCTTTAGAGCGTTTGACGTGGACAATTGACATTGACATTGACGTTCTCTCTCGTGCTGGATCTTGCAGATAATACTCACTCCTGCGGGTGATCCAGGGGCGTTGAATGCCTTCATAACAATAAACTCTGGTCCACCGGGGCCGAAACCTCAAACATTGTTACCTAAGATAAATCATCCTATCTTAGTCGTATGGGGCGACGATGACCCCTTCACTCCTCTTGACGGTCCTGTGGGGAAGTTTTTCAAGACACTTGCAGCTTCATCGCCAAATGTGGAGTTGAATGTGCTCCCTAATGTGGGGCACTGTCCTCATGATGACAGACCTGAACTTGTTCATGAGAAACTTCTACCGTGGTTGGCTTCCTTACCGGCATGATAGAACCTCGGGATGTGAATATTGGTGGAAGTTAAACTCTAGATTTCTCTTTCATTCGCTGGAAAGTGAACAGTTCTTCAACACAGTTAATGATTGCCACAGAATGTGATTTTCACATTTCGTAGTATCTTTGTCAAACGCCTTCATCTCGTAGAAATAGACTACGGTTGACATCATTCTGGAGGAAAAAAATGTACTCTAAGAAACAATACTTGCTAAATGTAATATTACCTGCTTCTAGTTGCTAGTCCATTCTTTCATAATTTCAAATCCATTGAATATGCATGCTATTATCTTGGCAACATGTATACAAGCATCCATTTTCCTCAACTAAAACATTTACTCTGACCATGCAATATCTTAATTTACCTGCTCGTCTTTCGTTACCTTGCGTAAGAATCTTATCCTCATGAGTAAGTGATACATTCACTACATGCTCTGTTCATCAATTTTGCGAAAACTGCATGCTTATAATCCTCAGAAATTGGATAAGTCAAATCCAACATCATCACAGATTTACACAACGATAAACAACATATTCTGTTCTTCCTCGTAGGAACATCTAACACAAAATTTACACCTTAAGTGAACATAGAACAAAATGAAATTACGCTGCAGACACCTCCTATCTGCATGAAAAAATGGATGACACATGAAGTTTATTGCAACATGTGGAATGCCTATTGCTGTTCGACCACATCTTCTGCATCTTCGTCGACTGGAATCGCATCATCTTTGAAGAGCAATTTCAGCGCTGGGAGCAGCTTTGGAAGCAACGGCAAGTCTGCTAGATTGGCACTCATCATATCGAAAGCAATACAGGTCCGGTCGTTGTAGCTCTCGTTGAACACAGGAATTTTGGGATAACGTTGACTGAAATGTGTCAAAACTGTGCGGTACGCTCCTGCTGTGATACCGGTCTCGATGGCCTCTTTGGTCATGCTGTGATTCTTAGCCACGGCTTCCTCTTCCATAGCATCATCGAATGTTGCCTGTCCACACGCCACCAAATGCCCATGTCACAAAAAAATCTCAACAAGGTGATGGATGGACTCGAGACCAACATGACAACTACTGACAAGAATGTCAAGGAAGACTATCAAGGAGCGGAGAGTAATATCAAGAGAATGAGGTCGACTGTCTCACAGAAAAGTCTCACCTCGTGTATGAGAACAGTGGCACCCCTGGAGGCCTCGACGAGGGCCCTGCACGGCCTCGTGTCCCCAGAGTACACGAGTTTCCAGCCTGGTTGGAACCCACCGACGTCGTTGGGTCTTTTCTCAGCCACTAGGACAACTCCGAAGGCATGCGGGCAGTGAACGACTGGCACACTGACGAGATATGCGAGCCCCAGTGAAGACAGCGTGTCCTTCAGCTTCGCTCGACCGCCCTCGTCGAGGCCAGCCTGGAAGTTGAATCCCGTTTGCAGCCAGAAATTGCGAAGTTGGCCTCGTCCAGGCCGCTTCTCTGAGGGTCTGAGAAGTCCTGTAGTGGTCTTCGTTGCGCTTCCTTGACTCGCGGGACCTTCCGGAGCGCTGTCCCACGCCATGCTTGCGGCACTCTCGGCTTCGAAAGTCGTTTGAGAGCAGTCGAGGAACTCCATTCCCAGGTCCTCCAGCCTTTCATAGGCGTCCAAGTACCTCTTCAACTGCTTTGGACCGATTACGAGGATTGGTGTGAAGTTTCCTTGCTCTTCCAGCAGCTGCCTTCGCACTGATAGTATTCGGGCGAGACCAGTGTGGTGGTCGGCATGGATGTGCGAAATCCAAACCATCTTCAAGCCCGCAACAACCTCATCCGCTGTCGTAGCCCCATACCTTCAAAGGATCCAGAGGTAGGTAAATTGTCAGCAGCTGCGAATCGTTTCGGACTCAATAAATTGAAGAAAAAGCCGATGGTTGTGGTTGGCCATCTAGGCTACTCCTCGCATGTATCACAATTTCTGTACGCAATGGTCAATACGATAACGGCTGCAGAAAGTGGGAAAAGAGATTACCTTCTTTTGAGTTGCGCATATGTACCCTCTCCGCAGTCCAGCAGCAGGCCTCCTCGATGGAAGAGATGGATGTAAATAGCACTCACATTGCGGTACTTCGACGGCTGAGAAGAGCCTGTACCTAAGAAAACCATTTCCATCTCTTCGCGACCCAACCCCACAAGGGAGTCCGGTAAATCATCTCCCGAACTGGCTTTGGCTCCTCGTACGGGTGATGGACTCCGAGACTTCCTACTCTTCTTTTTTAGAGGAGAACGAGGACTCTCGTCTTCTGCACGTTTCCAAAGATCTGCGAGATGCTTGGAAGCTTCGACTATCTCTGGAATATCTGTAACAAGCTGTGTCTGCACTTGCTTGATGTCAAGACGTTCCGGTATACCCGACCGATCGACACCCGATGTAGTCAGAGGACGTAACCGGTACTGCAGAGACGATCACAAAATGGCCAAACGTTAGAAATCTGTGTGAAAACCCTCCAATGTGTTCTAAAGCAAAATGTCCAAATCCAAACATATTGAGACATGAAAGGAACTAAAACCAATGCAATACAACCACGTAACGATGGGCCTAGAGAAAGGTGGGAAATCTACTAAGCTCTCAAGCTACAGAGTGTTCTGACTGATGGTTTCGAAATCATCCAATCCCAACTACACAAACCCTGCTAAACAGCAAGGTATTGGGATACAACTCCGATCCCTAGGACCATGCAGGTTGCAGCAGTGAGAGACAACTCATGACTCGACCTTTTTGCCTCTAACCGCACTCCAGATCAGAGGGTGTGAAACTGTCACCAAGATTGGAATCCACAAGAAAGTTACAAAAGGACTTCAGAAGCTTCCATCATACCTTCAGAAGGTTCTCGGCAGGATATATTGTCGCCAAGCTCGTACTCTCATCCTGTTCAGACGTAAGAATACATACACACTCATCGTGTGTCAGAGTGCATAGCAGAAGGACCTCACCATGGTGGTTAGAAAAGGGGTTCCACGCACCACACAATTGACAGACTTTACAGCGTTAAATAATTAGGAACAAAACATAATTATTGATGAAGGGATGAATATGAGAGATCTTCACTGAGCATCTGAAAGAGCGTCAGGACATACACTTAACACAAGCAATATACATGGTGTTTAAAAGATGTGAAGGCTTTCCCGACAGGGCAGGATTGTCAGCATACTTGGATGGTAGGATGGGGCAGAACTTACTTGGATGACGTCCGTAAGCATCTCGTTTTGTAGCAGCCCGGCAATCGGAAAGACTTGTGGGCATATGTAATTCAATTTTGCCATCACTCTAGAACTTGACTTCAGCACAGGTGAGACTTTCGCCACCCTATCATGAGGAAACACACATATCCTCAGCTACATTGTTGATTGAGTACTAACAATGGAAAAGACTTATTCACTGCATCTTGTTGTCTATCATGTGAAGATCTACGAAAACGATGAAAGCAGAAAAAACTTGGCCACGAGACGACAATCACGAAGCCACGAGTGCAAGCAATGCAAGCTACATTCCCTCCAAATACATTTACGGCATTCCGGATTTTTTGTCCAGTGTACTCAAACTTGATTGACAGCAGTGAATATATAATACGGGTGAAAGATAACGAACACTTACATTCCATGTCCTGCCATCAAATGGTGTGTGCCATCAAACTGGGCCATCCATTGTTGATATTCGGGCGTTTTTGTCACTGAACCGGGACTAATGTGTATAATACAAGTCACATTCTTTACATGTCCTGCGTTCCCTCCAGATGACGTAGGAGAATAAAATCGCCGAAGACCAGCTGCGGTAACTAGGGCCGATACGTGAGCAATCGTTGGGCAATCCACAACAAGACATATAGGGCCCGGGGAAGAGGGATCCATGACGTCACTCGGAGATATCTGCGTACACAATCCGCTGCATATGAATTCTCTTCACTATATGTACAAGAAAATCACTACTCCGTCTTGATTTATTCGCCCTTCTGTAAAACAGCACTATGCATTAAAGGTATGTCCAAGTGGCCAACAATAGAATTGATAAGTGATATTCCGAACTTACGACAGGCCTAGAGAGAGTCGGAAGGATCAAAGAATGCTGACTATTGATCTTTCTCTGCTTCAAATTGCGCCGACATACAGATAGCTAAAAACTATTGAAATCATTCGACTTCCACATATTCACAATAGCAGTGCACAATGCAAAGCCGATGAGCGAGTGGATCTACCTTAGTCTTCTCGTCATCAGCCATAACTTCTTTTCCTGACTGAAGAAGACCATACTTTGGACCTGGTCGCAGACCCAGTGCTTTTGCCTTTGCAGGATCAAACTTGCCAATAACCTCTGGGAGCTCGCATATATAGACTACGGCCACATCGTTGGGGCCTTTACGGGAATTGTTCTCTTGAGGATAAGAATTGCTAAAATCTGGCATCAGCTTCATACCTGCATTGAGCAAGTTTTCAGATCCGCCTGCGGAACTGACAGGAGGCTCAAGACGAGGTGGCTTCTCTGCGGAAGGACTAATCGGATTGGTTTCAAAGCCCAGCTCCCATGGTTCAGCTGATTGAAAAGTGGAGCCTTGAGCATTTGCCACGGCCTTGTCCGCAACTTGTGTATCTGCAGTGCCTTTTGGGCTTCTTTCCCGTACATCCATCACCTCTGCCCTTGTTCCAGTTCCATTTCTACCAGTCTTCAGCTTAGTAGGGCGTAAAATTACAGCTGAGATCTTTACACACTCGTCCTCAAGGAGCATGACAGTATCTTCACCTGTAGCCTGCTCTAAGTCCCCACCAAAGCTATTGGCGTGGACGACAGAAGAGTTCGGAATAAAGGTGCGCATAGCGTCGACAAGGTAATTCAAATCCGAAGGACCCCACATGTTCACCTGAAAAGGAGGTTCACTATCATTACAATTGACCCATAAGAGATTGGTTGAATCGTCAAGAGCATAAACAAGAACATAAGTACAAGGACACACCTTTACTGTAGGATTGTGCAAATCTACCCATCATCTCCCATGCTAATTCATCATTCAATGCACGTGTTTCCAGTACTCGAAATAGCGTCTATTTCCTGAAATGAGATAACAAAGGTGGCGGGAACACTGGCATTCCAATAAAATCAAACGAGTCAGATCATAGACTAATTGATCTGCTTTTCAAGAATTACTACAGTTTTTTAAGGCTCTCCTTACCGTCATTCCATTCTCTCCGGTATTGGATAGAGTTAAGAGTAGACCTGCATCAACACAAAGACATCTGTCAAAAACAAGCGACCATGGTGGCCCTCGCTAAGGCACACGGCAATTTTGGGTAGCGAATCACAAAGTAACTTGTCAAGTACTTACCGGGTACACCACTGGTGGTTTCTGAGCAGACACGAGTGAGAAACACGTGGTCTAGCTGTACATACAAACAGTTGGTGTTATGTGTGAACTTGCCTCAATCACGTCACCGAACAGTACAGGCACAATAACAAACATCACTTCAAAGTAATAGACCATCACCTTGAAATGAGTTAAATACAGCGCCTGAGAACTCAATACAGGTTTTCATCTATTTGGGCTGCATGAGAAATTATTTGATTCCTCCAATGCAGGTGAACGGGCTCACTTCCCTTGTTTTACCCGAGCAGTCTTTGATTGACAATATTAAAAAGTGCCAAGGAGTCCGTGCAAGAGCAAACGGTCCTAACGTAACACACCAAGCTACTTCTATAGCTGTTGTCAACTATAATTTGACTTAGATTTTAAATAGCAATCAGAGGAAGGAAAGCCCACCCTCCATTGGAAAGCTGGGCCAAGTTACATGCCTTGGATAGCTTGATTTTATGCTCAATGCAAAACCGTTGCAAACCCTACAAAAGAAACAGAATTTTTCACCTTCAGTATTCTATGTCATACATGATTACAATTAATGGCCACAAAAAAGCAAACGATTCAAAAATTGATCCGTCGTTGCGTGCAAACGTTATGACCGCTGACAGATGTAAATATGATAGAAGGCGTAGAGGTCACACCAGTTTTGTCTTGGGAAACAGCTCATCCGTTTATCACATTGTTTCTTCTCATTCAACGAGTTGATAGTAAGAAGAAAAATATCACGTGATTTACGAAGCTGATTATGTATGACTGCCCTTGGCCAAGCGTTATTCAGGTTATGTCAGATATATTTTCCAGCTCATTCCACATCATCTCAGTTGCCAATTCTGAGGGTAATTCTTAAGCCTGGCTGGTCTCAAACAACAAGGACGCCCGGTCCTAACCTCTCCGGCATTGAAGACAATTCGACGTTTATCGAAGAAGAGAAGAACAGATGCAGACGTATCCCTCGTGTCCATTCCTGTTCCAAGAATCTGTTTGGCGAAACGATGAGTGTTAAATACTATTATATGACGTAGCAAGAGTACAATTGGATAGCACTAAACAATTGGAAAAATGGTGGCCTCCACTGTCGATAAAGAGAGAACCGACCCGATGAGTAGGTGAAGTTCATGCACAATTATCAGAATTGTCACTTTCCGGCACTTCCCCCACATAGACGAGAGTGAATGAACAAAAAGGAAAACCTCTTCCAGAGATTGACATTTGAATTGGCATGTAGATTTAAGACTTCGCAGACTGCATCCAAGGAATGATTTTCCAATGGCACTCAAAGGACCAATACTGACAAACATTATGGCGTCTACGCAGTTAAAGGAGTCAATACATAGGAATTCAAACAGTAACTGTGGGACTCTGAACCTCAATTCACCTGAACGAAGCTGATAAATGTGCTCCCATGGGTTCCAGACGTACGTAATGCCAGCTGCTTGGGCTGCAGAGAGGGCCGCTTTCGATTACTGCCCTTGGGTTCCATTGCAGTCTTCGTATCCTCCTCCACGACTAACGAGGAAGATTTTCTAATTCCACGTTGCAAAACTTTGGGAATTTTCACGGCATTTGTGCAGACCCAGGGGAGAGAAACATGCCCTCGTCCGCCGGCAGCTCGTCCTTCTAGTCCGATAAAACCCTCCAGGCGCTTTCCTTTCAGCAGCAGATGCTCACTGTTGCCCCAAAACGAGGACCCTGTTGAGAATCGAATTGCTCCACGGCGCGAAACGTTGCAACGACTGTTAGAGCCAACAGTCCGAGGCCTGCAGAATGGAGACACAGCCAACTGCAGATGGGATTGCAGGTGCAAGTGATGCAAGAGCGGCCGCTGCAAGGCCACGGCCGACATTACCAGCTCCCGCCCTGCCAACACCCAGCGTCAATTCCCAACCCTCACCCTTCCCAAAACCCCCACCGCTCCCTAAACCCTTAAACCCTAGAGACCTGCACCCCGCTCGCCCCAACGCCTATTCTTCGTCGATTGCCCACAGTACCTCGAGCTGCGGCAGGAGCAGAGCAAATCGCCTCGCGAGCTTACGCACTCAGACTCATGCTGGTGTCCGAACTGACACTCTATCGACCGGTCCAGCGTCGCGGAGGCCGAATTCTCGGGCATCACCTGCACCCACGACCCCGACCGATCTTGCGTCGAGCCACCAGCACAAACCTGCAAGAGTTCAAATTCCTATCCACTCCCTTCGCGGCCTTTGGATCCTTCCTGTCGGTTTCTCGGCCGGGGCACTTCCGCTGCCATTGCGGGGGAGAAGAAAGAGGAAGAAGAAGGAAGATGGAGCTCCGATGACTTTCGCCCCTTTCGCCTACGTGGCACAGTATCAAGATGCAGATGGTGGGGACCACTTGATTCCTGGCTTGCCGGTCGACCTCCGGAGTTTGACTTGCAGGCCCGGTACAAACTGTGCACCCTCAAAACTACAGTCGACCCAAGTTACGAAGTTCCGAAGTCGACCGAAGTTCGCTACCACTGTTCTGTTCTAGGGACATTGGAGCCTTCACTCATTGTTAGCTCGTTGGCTTCATCGTCATAGTCGTATGGTTCGCAAGTTGGGTGGGCAAAAAGTTCTATCCATGGAGGTGTGTGAGTTCATGGATGCAAGCTTTTATAAGCAAGGATTTGTTCATAGTTCTCAACCCTCTGATTTATAGAGCCGTCAACGCTTCTCTGTTAGTTACTAGACCAACTATGATGGACAATGTGCATGATGTTCATCGACTGAAAAGTTTAGAAGTGTAAAAATAAATATAAAGGCACTCATATTTGCGGAAGACTCGAGTCGGGAAGTACAGCTGTTTCCAGTTATCTTCATTCAGATATTTCCATACTCCCAAAAACCTTGATTTTGAAATAGGAAGGTGGTTATTCCATAAGGGATGAAAGTATCGGTAATGGATAAATATTGATGTTGAAAGGATGAAGTTAGGTTCCAATAGAATCACAATAGTAAAAAACTTGTTTTTTAGATTTTCAGATTTAATGGTCTATTGTTACTTGATCATACTCTAAAATATCATCCACCATGATGATTGATCCGATATAGATTGCATCGCTAATTCTGTGTGTAAAGCCATGGATAAATGTCAATCTCAATAAGTGATACTCAGGTTGACTTTTATTCCAAAAAGAACCTTTGCATACGTTTTCATAAAGTTACATGTTTATTGATAAATTTGAAATAAACAGCTCCATACAAGTACAACGATAAAGTATAAAAAATTGGTCCCTAGGTTTATCCCTCTAGACATTGGGTATTGCTAGACTTGAAATTCTTTCCAGTTGAGCTTACTTCAGAATTCACAGGTCGGTCGGGTCCTAGTATGAGCTTTGACAAGGTGGAATTTCCATCTATCTTTAACTCTCGCTCCGATCGTTCATAAAGTGAGCTCAGCATTCAGGACGACTGCCAGTTCGAGACGGACGTACAGCTGAACTCTGCGACAGTGCCCGCGGACGATTTTCGCATGCCTTTTGATTTCAATTGTGCCAATGCGAGATACTGAGATAGACGAGGTATAGAAGCGTCTTATATCTTATATTCCTACAATATTTCGTGGAATGTTGCTTTGCTCTATCGATAAGAAGCTTGCTCAAATTCAGAACACGAGTAATTATCGATGAAGTGAATACTAAGGATCTCACAAAAACATGGGCTTACAACATTCACATCTGTCTCGTGACCTAGCTACAACTAAAAAAGAAAAACTGTAGAAAGCAGCTATACAAAGTTTACAACTGCCTTTGAACTTCAGGCTATAGAAGATGGTAAACAAGTTTCTAACTAAGCTACAATCTTCGATGAGTCTCTGACCCGTCTTAAAAGCAAGCTAGAGCTTCAGGCCTGAGCTGATAACTTGGTTCATCGCTACTCCTTCACTAAAATGCATTCCACTGACTATAATACATCTGTATCTGTAGACGTGTTACAGTATTGCTCCAGATACCGCAGAACAGGACACCCTGGTATAGTCTGGCCACCATCTACTCAGCCATCTCTGGAAGGGCACACTGACATCCACAACGCCTTAAATGGGCTTGCAACACAAACACCTTAAGAAGGTTAGAAGATTTGAGCTGAAGCGTCCAAGACATTGTTGCTTACCTTACCTCTCTCCACTTTCCTTTCCCGGATCTGAGCTGGGTTCACTGATACAAGTAGGCTACTGTCGATCAATTCACCAAGTGGACAAGTGAATCAACTTCTTATAGCTATGTGCCACACCATCAGCTTTAATGAAATATCTCTATCGAACCGAATTTAGGCCTAGTCAACATCAAGAAAACTAGACATACCGATGTTACTTCCGTTTGAGATCGTTCTCAATACCATCATGGGTAAAGTTCTTATATCTTTCAAATATCAACTAGGCATTTGGATCCAATGCATTACAAGTAGTTTGACATTCATGTATGAAAGGAAAATAAAAATGGATAGATCAAGCTAAGAAAAAATCTCAGAATTAAAAGAAATTTCATCACAAATTTATAATGCATCGATATGTCAAGACCCTTAAGCACGTGAACCATATACACACAAAGAATAGCTTGAGAAAAAAGACAGAAGTCATAGTAATAAAAGATCATTCTTATTTACTGGAAGAGAGTGAGTAGCTTGCTAATTCACGCACTTTACGCATTCTACAGGATTTGAACCTGTGGTGAAGGTCAGGTTAACTAACTTGATACGCACTCACTGCTTGATAAGGGGCTACATATCCCTAGCAGAATACGTTGGTTATTTCTTGTTAGTTTATCAAATTCTACAATGATTTCAATCAACAGAAAAAAGACACCTCCTACATAATCAATGTATAAATTCACAAGTCGTAATGGTACGGCTTGTAAACTGAAAAACATTATGTTGTATGCTAAAGTAAGCAAAAAGTTCTTCCCTCTCTTGTTCACCCCTAGCGGTTAATTACATGCTTTCGCATTTTGTTCAATCGATTTATCATGCTTGATGGATGACTACGAGATTCTGCAGCTTACCATGACATGACATGAAACGCCAAAAGTAATCACTTTTCTGCAAGCGCCGTTGATATTTCACATCAATCTTCCTCTTGAATTCCTCTTACTCAGTTTTCCACTTTCATGATGGAGAATATGTGTTCTACATTCTGTTGTTTATAATGATTTGAAGAAGGAGATGTTCAAGTAGAATTGAGAAGAGAGCGATTTCTACTTGGTCTTTGTTTTCTTGGACGGTTTCGCGGTCGTTGCCATGGTTGGTGAGTTTGTAGAGAGCAGAGGAGGAGTAAACCAGTTGACCGACCGACGGACGGACCGTGCGCTCTGGAGTTCCGGTGCTCCAGTAACGAGCGCACCTCGGGCCTGCGGAGTCTAGAGCGATGTACCGTACAGTGCTGTAGACTAGAGGGCTGGGGGCTAGGATCCTCTGGGTGATGAACTTGGTCATAATTCTGTCAGAGCCCTCTATGTCCTTCCTGCACCTTCAGTTGCCGGTTTGACCACCGGAAGGAATCACAGAGCACACTTGGAAAAGAACCAATTAGTGAGAGTAATATGAGAAGGCGAATTAAAAAGGGATAAGGTACTGTGCTGACAATCCGCTCTTGTACCGAGCATTATTCGAGAGTGCACTGGCATATTCTGTCACGGGTTCAGGAATCTGGCGGCTTTTGTACGGTGGGACAGTCAGGGTTGTCAATTAGCAGGGGATTGGACTAAATGGGCCTCCTGAGTACGCCCCTGATCACGGGTTTGAGGCACAGGGAAAGAGCACACGAATGCTCGATGCGCAGGGCAGAGGTGATTGTCAGACACTAATTCTGGGAGACGGACGATCCATGAGTCAATTCTAGCACGAGCATTCGAGAACGGTAGCATTCGCTTTCATAACAAAGCGAGCAACGGGCGACGGGGATCGCTGAAGACTTTGTTCGGTAAGATGTCTGTGTTTTCGAGACTGGTTTGAGAGAGTTTGAAGCTGATTCCGGAGGGCATCGGAATGCTGTAGTGATTGTCATTGAGTGTAGGGCTTGTTAGTTTGTGGACCAATGTGAGTTTCACAAAGTTTTGAGTGCCATATGGACTGATCAGAATTTTCTTGTCGGCTTTTTTAGCTCAGCACTCGTAGTAGATTCTGGGTTTGGAATATGATAACTGAAGCGTTATATGAAGATGTTTTCATGCTTGATCCTGGACTTTCAATAATTCAGTAAGCTACACCAGAAAAACATGTGCGGTTGGAATTATTGCATCTATCCACGTGCGTGGGGTTTTATAGCAGCTTCAAGGGGCTTGTATCTTTGAAAGGACGATTGAACTTCCTCACAGTTCACTCTGCCGGGATTTCAATTGAAACCAAACAGGGCAGAGCTCGGAACCCTAAACTTCTTTTAGTGGAAAAGATTGTTCCCTGAAAATCATACAGCCGACGGTCTATGCTCGCTGTGTTGGATTCGTAAAAGGGCAGGTATCTGGAGCTCTTTCAGTGTGGGCAAGATGCAGTCTCTCGTTCAGCTTCACTATTTTCAGAAAAGGGTATTTCCCATCTGCGATACCAGGGTCCTTGGGGGACGGAGTGGGTCACTTAGTTCATCTCACATTTCGCTGATCAGGGGTTGGAATTGCGGATTTCGTCGGTTGTTTGCAGCAATGGGGGAAGATGCAACTGGACAGGTTTATACAGAGACGGATCTCATAAAAGAGACTAAAGCGCTGGCCGCAGAGCTTTGCAAGCAATTCTATGGGTTAGGCTGGGTCTCCGGAACTGGTGGCAGTATCACGATCAAAGTTCATGATCCATCGATCCCCGTCTCTGAGCAGCTCATTGTTATGGCTCCATCAGGTTCATTTTTCCAACTATCTTGAAGTCTATCAAATGCTGGTCTAGGAAACCTTCTTAAGAAAGAGAGTATCCTAGAGAAGGCATCTTGTATCTGGTCCATAATATGTTGGTTCTGCTGCAAATGCAATCAATACAAGAATAGAGTGACCATACTTTTCTAGTGTGTGAGGTGATTTGTTACCTTAGTCCTGTAGTGACACACTACACCAGAGGCGAATACCATTATCACATTCATACTTTCAGGCTGCGATTCGATCAACAGTAGAGTTTTGCTGTGAACTAGTCACTGCCTTTGCCTGCAGGAAGTGGAATCAGGAAGACAAGGATAACGAACAGGATCTGAAGCTCACTGTTTTGTATCTCGTTTTTTGACCAACATGTCTTCTACTGATTTTAACCTATCTTTTCATAACGAGCTTTGAGCGATAATGTTTCCAGGAGTACAAAAGGAAAGGATGCTGCCAGAGGATATGTATGTGATGAGTTCTGATGGATCGATTTTAAGTTCTCCTTCACCAAAACCATCGCCTCACCGGCCTCCAAAGTGTAGTGAATGTGGACCACTATTTTTGAAGGTATCAAAGATTCACACTTTGCAGCTCGTTTCGTTTCGACGAGAGATATGTTATAACCCTGTCATTTATACGTTGGGCCTTATCGGAGAGTATTCTGTTGTGTCATGTAAGACACATCAAAGTCCGGGGCATTCTGGGTCATATGTTCCAATTTACTGATCATTAGCCCAAGCTTTCTCTTGCACTAATGATCAGCAAAGTGGAACTTGTGGCCCAGAATGCCCCGGACTTTGATGTGTGTACAAGCTTTCTCTTGCCAGCAGAGTCAACAACCCCGTGCTTCTTAAATTGGCCAGTTTGACTGTATTTGGGCAGTTGACAGCATCACAGTCTCATCCGTTTGATTAGACAGTAGACTGGGTATGTATTTGCAGGCGTACTCAATGCGAAACGCTGGCGCCGTTATTCACAGTCATGGACTGGAATCCGCTCTTGCGACTATGATAAATCCTGCGTCCAAGGAGTTTCGGGTATTTTCTTCTTCTTATTTTCTTTCAAGCAAACTTCATGGAAACTTTTCACCAGTTCAGTTTCAGCTGAAATGATTCAATTTTGAGAGAAAACATGTCTTTGGCACAGTCACGTCAATTCAAGGACTTGACTTTGTGCTTCACACCTGAAAACGACTAGTTTTCTTTATTCCACCGTCAGCTTTTCTGAATCTTTTGTCGACGATGACAGATCACACATATGGAAATGATAAAGGGAATAAAAGGCCATGGATATTATGATGAACTTGTGGTCCCCATTATTGAGAACTCTGCACGTGAATACGAACTCACCGATGCACTTGAGGCAGCTGTAAGTTTTTTATCACCTAGAAAACTGTAATTCTCAAGTTAAGTTTTTGGCTGTTGTGCTACAAAAATGGCGGAGAATATCTACTGTCGGATGAATGTCTCATTCTAAGTTGGATATTTGTAATCTAAGATCAGTTGATGTCTTAAGGTGACAACCGTCCAGGTCGGAACCCCGTCACAAAGCTGAAGACTTCTGATGTTGTTCATTTATGTCAGATTGCTGCTTATCCTAAAGCAACAGCGGTGCTCGTAAGGAATCATGGAATTTATATATGGGGAGATTCATGGATTCAAGCCAAAACTCAGGTTAGAGTTTTTATTGAGTGGTTTATGAAAAAGCTTGATATGATCTTTTTATTGTTCAACTTCTTCTCATGCTTAACGGAATTTTATCTCATTTCCTTGTATGATCTGATGGCAGCGCAGGCAGAATGTTATCACTATCTCTTTGAAGCTGCTCTGAGACTCCATCAGTTAGGTCTTGATCCTGCGGATCCCAAGCATGGGCCTATTCAACTCATAGGTTTTTGTGGAACTGAACCAACTGGTGCTGATAATGGGGATGATCTGGACTACAGTCGGAATAAGAAATTTAAGGTAAGCTATGGCTGCTGTGGATTCACCTTCCAGTTCCAAAAACCTGCGTAAACTGGGAATTTGAGCATGGTAGAATATTTGGGTTTAGCATTACCTTAAAATGTGGATTCTGTGCTCACCTCCGATATACTTTTTCCTGGAGCTTCTTTCAGGCAGCTTTCTGACAATTTGAAATTCTTCTTGCACCTGTTGCAGCCAGTCGTAGTTCTAGATATCGAAGGAACGACAACTCCAATCTCGTTTGTTGCGGACATTCTGTTCCCTTATGCGAAAAAGAATGCAGGTTCTCATCTGCTTGCAACATTCGACTCTATTGAAACTCAGGAAGATATTAAGCTCCTACGGAAACAAGTAAAGATTCGCCACCTTTCCATCGCTATCTCGCCATATATCAGTCTCATATCTATTGACAATCATGGTTTGCATTCCTTCACGCACTGAAGGTTGGCTATGGCTCTTTCAGATACAGGACGATTTGCATCAAGGTCTACCAAGTGCAAAGCCTGTCCCTCCTGTTGGAGCCCCGAAGGAGGACATTGTCAGTGCTTTAGAAGCCAACATACTAGCTATGATCGAGGCTGACCGTAAGGTAACAGCGTTGAAGCAGCTCCAGGTAAAACCAGACGTAAACTTTTCACTTCCATGTCGTGCATCACATCTACACAACATACATTTTTGAAACATAACCATCGGCAATTCACAGTATATACAATTAGCCAGTACTTGGATTCTAAGCACAGATTTTGACAAGTTTTGGGACAAAATCCTGGTTATGTATGGTCTTAGATTTGATGGTGGTTATCACATGAATTTCACCTTTAGTGGAAAATCACAAAAGTTGAAGGTTCAGTATATTGTATCGTATTTTGTCTTATGGTGCAAGAACACCTGAACTATTCTCTCTTCGAGAATTTTAACTTCCTCATGTTATGCTGGTTTTATTTATTGTGTCGAGGTGTGTTGTGTTTGTCTTTCTGATTTGAAGGCGTTCTTTGTACAGGGGCATATATGGAGGTCAGGATACAGTAAAGGGGATCTGCAAGGTGCTGTCTTCGACGACGTGCCAGGAGTTTTAGCCGAGTGGCACAGGTTGGGGACTAAGGTAGGCTTCTGATATTCAGCTCGATCCTCGATTATATAGCACGCAGTTTCCTTTCTGGAAGAGCAAAGTGCTTCAAAAGCGGGTTCTTATGTAGACAGCACAGCAGCCGCGACAATATGTCTCCCAGAAAGTCATGTTTCTCTTTCAGCCTAATTGCACTCGTTGCAGCCTAAACCCTCTTCGATACTAGCCTTAAAGCATGGACCCTCGGCTTCACGTTATATATTTCATGGCTAGAAGCGAGGCCATCACCGAAAGTTCAAGAGAGGTGCACGTTTGGTACATTCGGGTTTCAGGTGTCATGGATGCTTAAAATGAAATATAGAAAATGGCAAATACACGATGAAAAATAGTTGCTGGAAGGGAAAAGATTCGCCAATTTCCTCATGTTGGCACAGTAGAAGCCTCAGTGTATCTCGATTCTTGGGCTTAGTGAGAATCGTGTACCATAGTGAACATGACCTGAGGAAATCAAGTAAGACGGCCCCCGAGCGTCCCAGCAATGGAGATGTTCTCGTCTCATAAGCTTCTTCTGAACAGGTGTACATATATTCCAGTGGTAGCCGCGAGGCTCAGAGGTTGCTCTTCGCCAACTCCACGCACGGCGACCTGCGGCAGTATCTCTGCGGCTACTTTGATACTACTACCGGGTAAGGTTACCACGTCCGTGATCCAACCGAGTCCTTCATTTCTTGCTCCCAACTCCTACGCGGTTGAAACGTGACAACCACGTCAGGAACCACTTTCGATCTGTTCAGCCGAATTCGCAGATCGAGTGCTGTTCTTATGGAATCTCCGAGGGCTTCAGAAGATCGATGCCATGTTATCGTAATTCCGTGTCGGCGGCGAGTATGTGCTTGTCAAGTTTTTTCCTTTGATGTCGAAGGGCTTCGATCATTTGAACATGCTGCTTGACTGTACAGGAACAAACGCGAGGCTCGCAGTTATTCAGAAATCTGTCTCTCCGTTGGTGTCGACAGTCCGGCGGATGTGTTGTTTGCAACCGATGTTCTTGCCGAAGCCGTCGCTGCGAAGGAGGCCGGTGAGTTGGTTTACGCTGAAATTCTTGCGCTCCTGTTGAAGAACGCAAGAATTGTGTTTGCAGCTGTGATCGTAACGACAGCCAGAGAAGAGCTCCTCATGTTTGTCTTTTTTTTAATGCTGAGTAGAAATCTCGGGTCAGGTTTGGTCGCTCATTTATTGTTCGACTATGGAGGAGGAGGATTGAAAGTCGGTCGATTGTTAGGTCTCTTTGAATGCGAAATGAGCTCACTATAAAGCTCAACTTTTCATGCAGGTTTGGATGCTGTGCTGCTAATTCGGCCCGGGAATGTTCCACTCCCGGCAGACCATGGTTTTAGAACTGCAAAGTCCCTCGATGAGCTCTGAGGCTCGATGGATGGCCCCATGGACGCAGTCTCCAAATTCAAGCCAATCCGACGACTCAAAGACTGGCTCGCTCGTCGGGTCCTCCGACGTCTGTAGATTCCATCATTTGTTCAATACGAAGAGTTGGCATCGTTGCATCTGGCCGGAGCTGTTGCAACGACGCCAACTCCATCGCGTTCATCGCAGTTGTGTTCATCCAGCCCTTTCGTTCTTGTATCATACGTGCGGTCGAAACACTTTCAATGCATGCATAACCTACTTGATTCCCCGATTAGTGTGCGACGCCGCGGAGGACCAGTAGCACGTCAGGCCAGTGAGTAGATTGAACAGCACAACCTGGTCCTTACAGAATGGTGACTCCACAGAGAATCTCTTTCGCTGACCAGCCTTCGGCAATAAGGTCGAGAACCAAGCACCTTTGAGTGCACAAATCCTGAATTCTCGATGCACTTAATGTTCTTTTGTATCACCACCTCGTACATAATTAAGAGCCCATCACCAACCACAATGCTCTAAATGCATGCTGTAAATGGAGGAAGGCAAATTGCAAGTACCAGTCCAGCTGCACTGCCTAGGGGGGGTAATTGCACATTCAATCTCATGAAACAAATTCAAAAGCCGCCAAATTCTCCGAGAATCCAAAAACTCGTCTTCTGGAACTCGAAGAAGAAAATGGAACGAATGGAAAAAGTAACGGGAGCTTCGCTTTGGCAAGCATGGGGCGAACCGTGATTAATCTCAGTAGATGTCCAGGGCCGAGGCCTACGGAGGATCACAGTGGGAAGCAAATCGGATCAAAGATAGGAATAATCCCTTCTAGAGTCAGCTGCACTGATACGATGATCAGAAGAGCTCGGCATGAAGGGAAAGACGGTGCTGTTTTGATGTCGTCGGTGACATCAGTGGCCAATGTGGAGCGCAATGCGCAAGATGAGGATCAGAGCACAGCATCCTACAGAACTAAGGGGGCAGATCAACTGCAAAGTGGACCACGAGGTTCGGTCTCACCGGAGTCATTCAAACGCGCGGTCGCCATGCCATCAAGAAAAGACGGCCGACGCAGAAGTTCTCACACACCGAATGTCACAAAAGCGTCATCCATCCAGGCTCAAGCTCCGCACGGTGTTCCAAGGACAGTCCTCCGGACGATCCATTAAGAAGTTTCTGAGAGGCGCGGGTCCGCCTCCTCCTCCTCAGTTTGAAATGCGCTTTATCGCCCGCCCGCCCGATGAATGAAGTGCAGATTGAAATTCTCGTCGCAATTTCGTCAACCGTTAGCACGCGAGCACCATCAATCCTGAGCACGAATCTTGTCTCACGCACGAGGATTGTGGCACGGACCTTGGGACCATCAATTTCCGGTACGTCCAGGGCATGTCACCACGGCGCTGCTTGCAGGAGCTCGAGGGGACATTCACCGACAATCTTAATGTCATAGCCCGCAGTAGGAACAACGACAACTAAAGAAGCTACTTAATCGCTGACCCGTCTTTACTTGTCTTAACTCGACCACCGACTCCGATATACTAAGCGCCATAACTTCGGTGCTCGCGAGAATAATACATTCTCCTTCTACTGCTCAGCTCTCCTCCTTTCGTACGGTCCTGCCTCCCGTATAATACATGACTTCTACGACAAAAAGCGTTTTCTCACGTCATTCGGGGCCTTCAATTACCATTCGTTCCTCGTGTCTCAGAGTCCATGACGGAAGGAGAATTCGTGTCAGCCCACACCAAATGCAAGGTGCGAAAAGTTGCAGCCAAATTAGTCTGCTCGACTCGCTGATCTATTAAACTGTACCCGATGCGCACTTGGTGCACTGTTCCGCCCCGTGATTGATTGTTGGGGGCCGAAGTCCCTCGCACTCAACCTCGAGAGGGAAAAGGAAGTGCAAGCTGCACTCCATCTTTCGAGGTTTAAGGAATGTGAAGTGCAAGAAAAGTATGCACATTATGAAGTGCAGGCAGCACTTCGTAATGTGATATCGTACAGGTATTCAATTCTAGGGTCTATACGGCTTAGATCTTGCGATTGGGGAAGGGGAGCTCCTCTTCTCTACCATTAATCTAGACAACATTGAGGGAAGATTCTGAACACCACAAAAGGCAATCAGTGCTCATTGATCGAAACTCTAGAATCAACGCTTCACTTGCATTTCACGCCGGACGCAGTGCATCACCTTCTCGTGGCAGAGTAATTCAGGAAAAGGATCGGACCCTTCTCACACCAACTATTTTATTGTCCGCCAATGGTTGGGCTTCATGCGAAAGACTATGATTTCCTCGGCTTTTGATCCCGCAGATTGGGTCAGGGCCTATTGTCAGTCGAGTCTTGAAGTTTCAAACTCACTTCCTAATATCACCTCCCGATCATGTGGTTTTTCTCCATTCCCGCAAGGTAATGTACAGCGATAATTCAAAGGGATTCAAAGGAGCTTTTTCTCTCATGTGGGAATCACAAGGGTGTGAGTAATGTGTTTAGATGCTTGTTAAGGTGACCAAAGCAGCTCATGTAGTCAGCAGTCAAGAAAGAGCGGAAACTTTGCCATGTTCTTGAATTCTCCTCCAAGTTCTACCCTATTAGCTCCACAACCGTGCTGCCCTTACCACGGGACAAATTTTTTACTTCTCCCCTTCCTGCATCAACAACCTCTGACCTCATATTAGACTCAATTATTGCGGCTGGAATTACAATTAGATACAAGGAAACTACAAGACCGAAACCCAAATTCGGTCAATCTGATCGTCAAAATTTCATGTCCGACACTGTCGTTCTCACTGGCGATCCATCACATCCAGACTTGACGTGTCTGTTAAGGATGCCTCGGAATGCGCAATGAAAACGTACGAGGAAACGGACGACATCGATTCTTTCGAGTAATGAGAATGGATCGATCCATGCACTTCCTCCTCTTCTTCTTCTTCCGTTCTTCGGCATAAGATCATGATTCCTCGATGGATCATCTTCAAATGTGCACGACACCGTCCAAAACCGACGTGGTCAAACTGTGTCCAGTCCACTTTGTCCATGCCAACGAACGTGGTAAACCGCGTTCTTCAACAACGCAGAAGGGACTGCCGTAATCGTGCGAACGAGCCTTCACAGTGACGGGACCCGGGAAATATTAACCACACTTCGAAGGTACTAGAGTAACTACACCCAACCTAACTGCAGTAAAGTTCGGGTCTCGTGTTCGTGACGAAAATAGAATAATAATACAATTACTCCCTTTGATGTACCGCAGGCTAGAGAACGCAACGGCATTCAACGCAGTGGGTCTAAGTTTGGCCCGAGCGGGAGCATTCATGGACCATCAATATCAAAGTCAGAGGCATCGATGGCCACGCGAAGAGTCAAACCTCTCGCGGCTAGCGACCTGGATTCCACCACGATTTACGGAAGTAAAATTTTGGAACTGCGTCGCCGTAGCGAAGCTACTGTAGGAGGTTACATCTGCTCTTTCGATTCGTACCCGGTTACAGTTGAAGCTCATGAAGTCTCTTCCCTTGTTGGGATGGGCTTCCTATCGTGATGGATTCGAGTGGAGATCGACGATCCCCAGCGATTGTACGTTGTAATCTATTCTTCTTCTTCGAGCTGGTCGAAATTCGATGTTTATTAAGGTGTCGAGAGAACGATTTCCTTCTATGCCGTTTGCATTTTCGGCTGCAAGGAATCATCGAGTGCTCCGAAGAAGCTCGCAGTTTCTCGACTGCCGATAACTTTGGCTCGTTGGCAATCTCGCCTGGCCAGAAAATCGAGATTCTGACAGAAGCGAGTGAGACATCGTCGGTGGATGATTTGCAACCTGGCAGAAACTCATGGACGCCGGGAAAACGACTCCCAAACTCCACGGGGGGCAAATGCAAAGCACATCGTTGTGAAAGAGGCTTGAGTGTTCTATGCCCTTGATGGAAATATGATTGAGTACAGAAGCAAGTACTGGCAGCAGAAGATGTACTCATGCTACTCGGATACGTTGTCAAGCAGGATCTACTGCAGTCCAGGAAGAACATACCCAGGACCAGAGTGTTTCACACGTCTTCGTGTAAGTTTGTGGGAATCTCGACGAGCTTGGCGGGTTCTACGCCATCATCAATGAGCCCCACCGGCACACCAGATGCCGACACACTCACAAGACCTTCGTATTGTACCGTTCAACGTTTGGAGCAATGATCTTGTGATCATGAAATTTTTATACTAGTTTAGATCCAGACATTGATGATTCTGATCTAGTTGGTGAGACACATTTAGTGGCTGAAACATGGAGATAATCAGACTCCAACGAAGGACTCATCTGTCGTTTCGGAACGGAATTTACTTAAATACGACTCCTCTCGCTGAGATTGTCATGTCATGCGCATGCTAGCATGAAGCAGTTGAGCGTACATCTATACGAATGTAAAATTGATGATAAATCGTAAATGCCTCCATCCTGTGCGTCTAGGCTTTATGCCCATTTGTACGGACCATAACTGTTATTCTAAGCTCTGGTTTATCCTATTTGCGTATTTCGGCGATTCTTCCTCGAGGCTAGGGAGTTGAAAACATTCCTTTGTACACTTCATACGCTAGATTGTCATCCTTTGAGGGTTTTTTTGTCAGTGAAGAATCTATATTGAAAAATATGACGGAAAAAGAAGAAGTGTTGCAATGATTTCTCGTACATATAAGGTACATGCTGTAGAACCAATGAGCCAGACGCTTGGGGCTTTTTGGCGAACAGCTCCGCAAGGTCTTTCGTATGGTCTCTACTTGCCTTTGACTCGAAACTCGTTCAGTGGGACGTTAGATGCATGCTGTAATGCCTGCTTATGATGCAATAATCGATAGATATTAGATCCCTCTTCATGACGTCAATAACTACGCCTCATAAATGTCATGATACCTCTACTTTTTGAGTTTGAGTTTTAGTTTTAGTTCACTTCAGCATTTTTTTCGAAATGATGGAAATGCTTCAATCGTTAATGCCTTTTGAAAGAAAAATGTCATTTTGATTGTTTGAAACTGAATGAGTACGTGAATTTCGGAGATGAAATTGAAACTATGGAGCAACTCGGAGAAGGGAGCTGTCGAGCTTCAGACAAACGGCCACTTGGCTCCGAACGAGAAAGTTTACAAGAGTACAAGAGTCCAATAATTGATCGGAGGAACAAAAGATGAGCTTCCATTGATTGGATTGGCTCAGAAAATTATTCATCTGGCGTGCCGCTCCTTCTGCCGCCGCTAAATGGCAAAATAATATGTGCTTTGGTTGCTGTACTGAAGGTGTATAGCAGTAGTAGTAGCAGTGGTGGTAGACGAAGAAGAAAGGAGCAGGACGTCTTTATCGTCGTGCTAGTCTGTCGGAAATTGAGTCCATGCAGAATAGCAGACGAACGACGAAGAAGGAAGAGACGGAGAGTCGGAGAGAGAGAGGACTGGAGAAGGAAGAAAAAGGGTCTGGAAAGGCGGCGGCTGCTCTGCATTGCACTGCACTTCACTTCACTCGTTATCTCGTGTACACTGTACGAACTCAGTTCACTGCAGTCGTCGTCTGGTCAGATCTGATCTGCTCTGCTCTGCCCAGACACACAGACAGATCCATAGCGGGAAGCGATGTAGTAGAGATCATAGTAATCATGACGAGGAGTCATTCGCTGCGACTGTCACAGCTCTCGACATGTCTGACGAAGAGAGATAAATAGTACGGTGGCACGAAAACAGAAACAAGGAGAGCAGAGACGGAGGGAAATCCGAGATTAGGATGCGTCAGATGCACAGCTAATGAGCGAGTGAGGAGAGGGGAAGGCAGCGACAGCAGAGTAGGAAGAGCAGCAGCGGCGGCAGCAGGAAGTGGACGGAGGGACTCGTATGGGACAGACGCCTCCCTCTCCCTGCATCAGCTGCTTTGCATGCTCGTTCAGTGTCGTTTGTCGGAGCTCACGGGAGAGAAAGAGTCTGGGACCCTTCTTCTTCTGCTGCTCTGGACCGAACTCGTCCTGTCTTGACTTGACTAGGCCGGACGTGTACACTGCTCACCACCGACGACTCCACGAGAATAAATATGCTGCGGAAGACGGCCTGCTGCTGCAACAACTACCTGCCGTGGATGGCTCCGTTTCCAGCTCCAACATCAGCTGCAGTATCGAGCTCGTGCTTATGATTCTGTAACCAGAGAAGCTCGCAGTTCAGCCGTCGCTCGCAGAGAGACAAGACTCTCTGCGCTACACTCTGAAGAAAGGAAGAGAAAGACCAGCACTCTTGAGTCGGGGCTGTCTATTCAACATTCTGCACAGCTCAAGCTCGAGGACGATATGCGCTAAGCAAATTCTGCTGCGTTCTGAAGACCAGAGAAAGTAGACAGTGCGAGGAAGAAGTGTGCTGAAGAGACATTGAGGGAGAGGGAAAAAAAATTGAGTGTTGTTAGGGGTGTCGAAATTGGCTGCATGAGTGCTGTGTTGAATATGTGTATTAGCAGGGACTTGTAGAGGGTAGAGCTTGTATTTGCTTGTTAGACAGGTGCAGAGGTTAGCAGCAGGAGTTTCATTGTGAAGGAAGGCCGTGGAGAGTGGAGAAATTGCAATGTTGTGTCCTGTGTGCGGTCGATACCCGGATAAGGACGGGGACTACATTGAGCAGCAGGGGGGAGACCGAGCCAAGCACAAGTACTGCAAGCAATGTCGCGTGAAGCATGTGGAATTTTTGCTGGAAGAGGGTTTGGATAAAGAGAGTTTTCTCACCACCTGGAGCTCCGTGAACAACGGCCTTTTTTCGGACGTGAAGCTGGTTGCCAAGCATGGCCAAGCAGTCCCCTCGCACAAAGCCGTCCTGGTACAATTCGTCCCTCTCATTCCCTTCCACGCAGTTTCTAGTTTAGCATTACAGTCAGCGAAAGTAAATAACTGGATGAAGACGAGCAGGTGATCCTGATTGAGGATGTCAAACCGTGGTATGCACCTGCAGCAGGAGTTCTGTCAAGGAGTGTGAGTGATGAAACATATTCAAGAGCTCAGGACAGTCTTCTGAATGTGGATATGAACGCGTCAGGGTTTTTGACAGTTTAGCCCAATATTTTTCAGGAAGCCCTCAGCAGTAGATAATTATATTCTATATGCAAGATATGAAGTGTACTTCTCTGGGTTTGGGAAAAGTTGATGGCAGTGGCATGATGCTGACCATGGCGTTCCGATTGGAATGCTCACACAGGCTGGAAGATCACAGGTGTTCCAGGCCTTGTTCGCTCTGGGAGACCAGGACGACGAGAAACACAAGACCAGCATAATCTTGAACTTCCCGGACATGAGCTACGAAGCATTGCTGGGATTTGTGCAGTTTTTCTACTCAGGCACTGTGCAACACGAGGTGATGAAAAAGCATGCGCCGCCCCTTCTCTGTGCAGCCATAAAGTTCGAGGTGAAGTATCTACAGGGCCTGTGCGAGAAGTACGTGAAAGACAGAGCCACATGGAACAGGAAGAACCTCATCTGGGCCTTCCAAGTGGCCAAGGAGGCAGGATCCACAACGCTGCTTTCTTTCTGCGAGAGCCATGCCAAGAGCAAGCTCATCGTCAGGAACTTGGACTGGGCTTTGGAGGTCGCCTACAAGTCCGGCTCCAAGGCTCTGATGGAGGCGGCTCTGAAAATTGTCTTGCCCAAAATCCACCAGCTGCTCACATTTGACGACTCGAGGAAGGATGAGTCGGAGCTGCAGCTGACCGATGCGTCCCAGCTTCTCAAGATCTATCAAACGGCCGCTATCAAATCCTTGCCTCGATCGAAAAGCTCCAGAGGCTCCAGTAAGTGAACGCTTCTATCACGTTCCATTTTTTCTAGACAGAAGAAGGTTTTCCAGTCACTAGCTCTTTCTCATCGTTTGTTTTCCTCCAGTCCAGTCCATTCCAGTCCAGGGAAATCATGAGGATTGGGTCGGCACCGTTCCTCAAACATTTCGTTTGTTTGTGAACAGAGTCTCCTTACAAGCCTGGCCATGGTAAGGAGTACGATGAAGAGGACACAACGCACATAATCTGGCCAGAAAGTAGCAGTTCACGAGACGTCCAAGACTTCTGTTCTGACCCCGAGGACGATCAATTCGCTAGTTTATCTGGTGATGAATCTGGGTGAGGGAGGGGAGTAAGGATGGGAATGACATGATCATGGGAGCTCTTGACAGCCAGTCTGGGTGGATGTCGTTCACCGTCGAAGTTGACTGGGCGGGAGCTCTAAGTGTGTACAGGTAGGAGTAGTCTGGTAGCTGAGCAAGAGTCTACAGCGAGTTGGTTGGTCAGAGCTTTTCAACACATTGAAATTGGTTGTAAATTTTTCAGTTCAAAATTTCTTTCTCACGCCGACATTCGCCGTGTATATGCTTCGCTCAATTTCTGTCCACAATCGAAGACAGATCTGTACCGGGAAATCTTTTAAATTCGCTCTTGCTCACTACAGATTGGACAGATTGGATATTCTTCTACAAGTAGTGTCGTTTGAGATGGCGGCCGGTGGACACATGATGGCCTGCATCTGTCCCCGATGACATGAACGAATCTATCACAGGTTACAATGTTCACGTGCATGTCTAAATCTGCACGAGCTAGCAACCATGGATACTTAAAGGATAACATGTCAGTACCTACCGTTACACATCTTGCGATAACGGGGCGATTGATTGCGACTTTCAGTACTTCTCCCTTGCTGGAAATGAAATATTTTATACGACTCCTTTACAGCTGTCGCTTACCTTTCATTTTTGTAGCTGACTCGGTCTTCCAACTATAGTCTGTTAATTCGCCCCCCACAATTCCTGCATTTCGCATTTCGGACCATTACAAGTGTGCTGACTGCGGTTGGTTGGCAATTTGTTCTACTTTCACTCCTCTCCCGCATACATAGAGTGGCATGCATCCAATTATGAATGATATTGTGTGATCCGTAGTAAAATAACCCGATTTGAATCACAACTTGTAAGTTATGTAATATATTCGGTCTGAAATCAAACAAACGAGCATTTATATCCCTGATCTGGACTACACATCCGCAGTAATTTACCCGCCTGCAATTTACATATACAGAGTTAAACCTCCCAATAGTGACACAATACCTTCCTAGGGTTTTATGTCACTATTCGGAGGTGTTACTCACAAGAGTATATCTGATCCTTTCGTGCGTTATTTACCTTCGGTGGACGTTTCTTTCCCTCTCACTATAATTTGTCACAGTTGTTATGCATTATTTTGTCACAGTTGTTATGCATTATGTGGTCGTTTTTTTCTGGTAACACAATTTGTCCTTGTTCGGTGGGATTTTTATTTTATTTTTGGTAATCTGCATCTATTATTATTCATACATGTTTAAACTTAAGCGTTTGGACTTGAAGACAAAGTTGGAAGTTTTGGAATTTTTATTTTATTTTTGGTAATCTGCATCTATTATTAATCACACATGTTTAAACTTAAGCGTTTGTACTTGAAGACAAAGTTGGAAGTTTTGGATTTTCTGAATGAGCCCGGAATCGGCGTTTTTGGCACTTACAATTGTTTGTACAAAAATCTAGAAAGAGAGAAATTATCAAATAGGTATCGTTAGAATTAAATCAAGATCAATTTGAAAAGATTTCTATATGGACATGTGTGCAACTTCTTTTAGATATGGTGCAACAATGGCAGGTAGATGTTGAGGTAGATGCGCTCACGGTCAATGTGACGGGTGAGATGTTCAAAAAGAAGATTGTATTTTTTCGGGACAAAATTTTGCTTGACTTTGTTGAACGTTTGAAATCTTTAGATACATTTTTTCTACAAACATTTGTTGTGTCGGATGGATGATTGAAGAAATATTTGAAACACATTTCAACGTGGAGTAAGAGGAGGTACGGAGAACAAAACATTATCAGTGTCATTACGTCTACAACAAATTTGTGAAATGTTATGCGATATACCACTCGAATGCATAATTAACATTGACGAGTCGGCTTTACAACATCGCACGACGTCATCAGATCGTACTACACAATCAATTCATATGGTCGTGAAGTGGAACGAAGTAAAGAACGAATTACAATGATCCTTGGAGTTAGTGCTTCAGGTGAAAAGTTTATCACGCAAGTAATCACGAAGAGTGCTCGTTCACGTGCTTTGAAATATATTCCTTACATAAGTAAGGCGTTCAGAATTATTTATGATCATCAAGCTAAAACTTGCAAGTATACATCTTCTTACATGCGTCTGCTTCACAAGTACAACAAAATTGCCAAGGATCGCAACTGTATCTTCTACATACTTCAAGACAACTCAAACTTTCACGTTTGTGCGTCTAAGATTTTAGACCCATCGGGATCAACATAAACTTGTGTATCATTTTTTTTTACTCCGAATGCTACTAGCGAATGTCAACCTCTTGATCAAGGTATTATTCGATCTTCCAAAGCTCATTTTTGTCATGCTCAACTGAACCATTTAATGTTTGAGTATGAGATGTGGCAAGTGAGTGAAGGAGCATCTTATTCCCAATTTTTGATTAACGATCATACCTATCTTGTCGTGCAAATACGTATCGCTATACATCCTACATCTCTGACATGCTACTCACATACACACACACATAGGACACGAGAACCGAAAACCGTCACCGTCACAAACAAAGTCAATCCCAACCCACTCCGCACTCGGAGATTCCAGGTCTGACGCTCACAGGCACTACTTCCAACGCGCTAAGCTCGACTCGAAGAACGTCAGTTCTTCGAGTCGTCTTCGTAGCTATACCCTGCATGACCTGAAATTCTAGGCTTGACGCTATTTTTAGTAGAACCAAAAATTACATGACAATCTACGGAGTATATTTGGTTGGGTGAAATCTACATCGGATGCTATAGAGTAAAATACTATTCTAAGATGTTTTGTTAACTCCCATTGTCTACCTCTTGTATTTAACATAATTTTGAATCAAGATATAAATAGACACAATACCACCTCAAATCACGTCGTGGATGATTTGATGAAAACTCTTCAAGAAATTTGACTCAATGATTATTTTTCAGCGTCTTTAGGTCTTGATAACTCAAATATAGAATTAGTTGCCAAAGAGCTTATTGACCTCGATGCTATTGATGCTACTGGCGATGATTATGTTGACGATGCTAGCAATGTCAAATCAATTTTAGAGTAACATAATCTCTTGCACAATGATACTACTTTGAATAATGATGATTTTGGTGAGATTCCACCTTTGGTAACAGTTGAGCAGTCGAATCAAGCGATCATCGACTTGATCAATTTTTACTCTATCCAATCGTTTTTATTGACAGAATTACGGAAGTAAGTTGCTTTGCAACTTACTCTGTAAAGGACAATGAGCTCGTTGTCCTTTGATACATCAACAAAACATTGAGAAGTTTAGACGGTTGAAAGAATCGACAATCATATTGTAAATTGTATTTTTATTATTTGATATATCTAATATTCTCTCTTTTTGAATTTAGCACATGGTGGATGTGGATTGAGGGTTTAGAAAGTTTTACGCATATCTAAATTTTTCTCTCTTAAGTTTAACACATGGTTTTAGTCGTGTGCGTTGATTGTTGGATGCCAGTGATGAAGATTTCTAAGATAGAATATCACGAATTCATCGAAAAATCTATACTCGACTGTCGGAATCACCGCAGGCTTTCGCGAATGGCCAAAATTTGCTAGAATTGGCCACTGTGCCGATTCTCTGTCAAGTTTTTCACCCAGCCTTCTTACGATTAAGCGTATCCCCAATACGCAATTTATTGTGGATGGATTTTTTGTATTTCAGATCCAGATTGAGTATCATCGTTTGATTTATGGATATTCAAGTCTGTTAACAGTGCTGGCTTCCATATTTGTATCTTGCTTGCTAACCATTAAGTCATCTGAAACTTCATGAAACTTTTTGTACATCATAGTCTAAAATATTGAGATGTTAACATTTTGACTCGAAGTCCTAATGAAAAGAATGTACCAGAAGACAGTGTTCGTGATTATGGAAGTTTAGTTCTGTACCTGAGATTTTGTTGATGAATATTTCTTTTTTGTGTTTTCACTCGCCTGAATAATGAAGGTGGAACAAAATTGTGAAACTTACTTCAACGAAGGTTGGATCTTGGCCTTGATGTAACAATGAATGCTAACGTGCACGCTGAGATACATGAGAGCGGGGGACTACAAAGATGCTGTGAAGTTCTTAGTTGCGACTAAAATGATGGGAGCGGAGTTTTATTCATGGTCCACATAACTGATCATCATTTCAAAGTTACTTTCTCACTTGAGAATGCCAAAGAGTATGTGTATTGACATGCCTCATCGATATGCAAAGATCAGTCCATAATTACTTACATAACTCCATCCACTTATAGTGAAATGTCGCCACTTGATAGCAATAAGCGTCTATTGAGATTGTAAGCACTGAGAGAAAGTGTTCATTTCAGCCGAGAGTTGAACTCTTAAATGTAGGGATCAATCAACAAGCTTTGAACGAAGACTTTTATGTCTAAACAAAGACTTTTGGCAATTATGATAACTATTAAAGCTCAACAGTGGCGTTGATTGGGGGGGCGTGCTCCCCCCCCTCCCCCAAGCAAACCCTACCTCTGAAAACGCGGAATGAAAAAACCACACGTGCAAAGTCAGATCACCTTACCATTCTTTCTCTCTAGAAAAAAACCAGATCCGTGGTAGTCGAACTATTTCTTCGATTGAAGAAACTCATACAAGCAGGCTTCAAAGAGCACTACGTGTCTCTCTGCGTCTATTTGATCTTTTTGTTTCATTCAAGATCCTTATTCTGGCAAGTTTCGTAGGAACGCAAATCATATTTGGAGAGTCCGCGGAGAGCTGGGCTTTTTTTTCCTCCGGCCAGTTAGTCACAACGGCAATCAGCATCCACAAATCCATCTATTTGTAAGTTAGATTTTCACGTTGAACTGTTTGTAAGTTAGATCGGTTTGTAAGCGGTTTCTCACATCTCATTGGAAGGAAATGAAAATGACGGTTTTAATGAAAAGAAGCCCTTGCATGTTCAATCAATTCATGTAGATGAACCATATGCAAGTAAATGATAAAATCAGAGATTTTTTTGACTTGGAGTGCTTCCCTTGCACATAGGCATGTGCAAGGTCTGAGTATGTCGAAGCATAGTTTGTTGTCTGATGCATGTCTTACGCTTCGTCTTTGTGGACACAACTGCTGGTTTATCTACTCACTATACCAAGCTTTAATCGGACCAGATTCCATTGGATTGTCTTCATTCCACGTGGGTTACAGTTCCTCGCTCTACGTGCAATACTTCTGGTTTTTTTTGAAATCTGCAGTTCTTTTTAAAGCTTCAATGCATCAGCACACGAGATGATTTCAGTCATATTTTCTTGCCGCTCGTATTGAGTACTGATATCATATACGTGGTTGAATTTGAGCTATTATACCTCACATAGTATCTTTTTTTTCCATTTGATTTCTTGTTTACATTTATTATAAGATAGCTTTTTTCAATAACAGTACATTGTAAATAACAAGAGTATGTCATTGTCTGCTTTAATTTTTCTTGTCTAGAATAAGCTATTCCTTTTGTCACTTGTTTCAGGCTTCTTGCATTCTTATCTCTTTGTGCTTCTCGTAACATTATGTGTTCTTTTTGTGCCACATCTACCATTCTTAATCTAAGCGTCCATCGTCTATGCTGAAGTATCTGTTGATGGTTGGCG